AAGAAGGATTACGACCAAGTGGATAGTCTATGTGTGGATCTCGACATCATAACCCATCAAAATTCCGCCGAAAAAACTTGACGCCAACAACTGCGGATGCCCTGCACATAACACAAGGTAGGTAGTGAAAATGAAATGCAGCCCACCACATAGAACGGAAAAAATAAAGGAATGTGGGGAACGTCCACCCGAAAATTGGCTACTTCTGCTCTATTAATAGCCTAACAGAATCATAACTAACTGTAGTCCACCTGTGTACGAGTAGACTACAAAGAATCCCTGGCTATTATTTTAGCTGTATTTTAAAACTCTGACAAGATTCATATGTGCGCTATGTACACCAGTCAGTACATTCAGCAGTGCTGTGACACCCGGACACACCAGAAAATAGCACACATGCTAGCTGCTGTAGACTCCACCCCACCTCTCTCTTCGGCGAACCAGCTGACAGTTGCCTTAGCGGGAGCTGCACGACGACGGCATCAACGATCCTGGTGGTCGCTCCCTGGCCGCCGCCCAGACCCGACCTTGTCGACAGCGGCAGACCGTTCCTTGTCTCGCCGTTGCCGACGACGACCCTCCTCGCCAGCTTGGACACCGTCTTGCCCACCGGCAGACCTTTCCCAGAGCTCATCATCACCATGGCAATACTGTCGCCTTTTATCGTAAAGGTGATGGCTGGTGGTGTTTGCTGAGAGCGGCGCGCGTGTGGTTCTGTGCTGTGTGTGGGGGCGGGAAGAGAGGATCTGTTAATGGATCGTGCCACATGGGTGGGCGCCGTCGGATAAGCGGCGCGTATGCACGCTTCCCAGCACCCAACACAACCGTCGACAGGATTGGATATGGCGCCAAGCGCCGTCGGATAGGCTGCTGCGCTGTCGGATGGAGAGTCGTCATGGAGACATTCCTTGCGTTCCTAGCCACAACATGCAGTTGAATAATCTCTGCGCGTGTAGACCATCTTACCATGGAACAGTCAAACTGCCTCACCAGGATCGATATCTCACTTGTGCATGATGGCGGCGCGGAAAGAATGCGGTGTAAACTTGGGGCCAGCGTAACCTGTCCGAACCGTTTTTATTTCGGTTTCGCGGTGTTGACGCGCTCACAGACACACCGCCTCCGACCTTGAGTCTCCGGCCGAAAGTCTTCCAATCTTCGGGTGAGGCATGTAGTGTGTCCGCTGCATGGGAGTCCCTCAAGGGTGGCAAGCGCCAGAATCTCAACGAATTTCATCGAGTTGCCGGCAGAAGGACGGCGGGTTCTTCACTAAAACACGTAGATACCTATCATGCGAACGGACACAGCAACCATACGCAGCAGCCACAATAACACATCTATCCAGCACAACAGCGACTCCTACTAGTCTAATGAAGTACTATCCACCGCTACACCCTGCCTCCATCTTTGAGTACAGTCACGCAAGCACCGATTTACATGTAGCACCTCTGCTTGCCGTGTATTCCGCAGTAGTTGCCTGTGTCTAGACTGCTGTGTGCAGCAAGCAGCAAGATAACAAGATTGACGAACCAAGTTGGTTCGATTGCCTGCTTGAAAGCCTTTTTGCTTGAAGGTTTCTTGTTTGTTTGATTGGTTGCTCGGTGCAGCGCATGCCAAACAGCGTAGATAGGACGGCTTGCTTGTAGATGCACCCAGCCGTTTCCCACCGTCCGACTGACGGTGTTTGCGTGATGCTGTGAATGCCAGTCGGTAATATGTCGGGTGGATGCGACTATTAATTAATAGCTATTTTTGGACCGGCGGTCCGTCCGTTTGACGGGTTGGCTCGATATTTGCTTGATGCAGTAGAGTCTATTTCTCTTGCATTCGTATACTTTTGAAGTCCCTCTCTCACGACGGTGTCGTGTATTCCCTATGTACGGTAGGCCATGCACCCTGTTGACGTTATTCCCCGCGTGGGCGTTGTGACAACGTCCCCCCCCAGCATCGACCTTCCCGGCCCGTGCATGATTCTCATCGATGTGTCACACACGCACACAAACGTCTATTACGCAGCGGCGTGCAGGGTCTGCGCCGCGTGGCGTGTACAAGCGTTCATGTTCGCTGATGATGCCGCTGGGTGTTAAGTGTTTTCATGCTTTTCTCGATCCGTTGTCAAATCAAAGGATCCGCGCTCATAATGGGCCCATGGGTGAAGGCATCATTATTCATCAAGTCTCAACGGAATGAAGGCATTGTCATTCTCCAAGTCTCCATGCGTTCCCAAAAAAACTAATCAGTTGCTCGCTTCGCGTGCGGCGTAACCTCTAGCAGGAAAGCAACAGACCGAGTTGGACCAATCAGGGAGCAGGAGGACCAGAAATATCACTACCTCTACACGATCCGGCTCCTTTTCCCTCCATTCCTGCAAGCAGGCTCGTGTGCCGCATAACCTCTAGCAGGAAAAAAAGTAGGCCGAGTTGGACCAATCAGGGAGCAGGAGGACCAGAAATATCACTACCTCAATACGACCCGGCCCATTTACCCTCCGTTCCTGCCAGCAGCAGCAGCAGTACGTCGTCATCAACACAACAACCAAACCCACAGCAGTCTCTCGGCCGAAAGGGTGCCCGCACGACAGTGCCGGACACGACCATCACTTGGCACGACCTCTACTCCTGGCTTTCTCTCCGCACGACTCCCAACTTGCTGCAAGGGAAGGAGGCACTCCGAGCGCCGCACTTCCCCGAACCGGCATCGGTTCTTTCTTTTCTCTTACAATAACAATCCATCTCTATCCACAGACAAAAGAGTCCAGGATTTTTTTCTTTCGTGACAATAAGCTTTTTTTTTTGTTGCTTTTATTGGGTTTTCGAAAGCAAGCCTAGTTAGCCTCATCCAAGAAGTCCTTCACCTCCTGTTCGCTAAGGATGCGGAACTTGCGGTCCTCGCCTACCACTCCCACCTGAGAAAAAAAAAAACGGGGGGTCCCGGGGGGGGGGGGGGGGG